GGGAGAGTGGCTCCAACAGATCCCAGGAACAACATCTGAGATCTCTGTTCAGAAGAGTGCAGTGCTAGGAACAGCTAAGATACTGTAGAGGACCTGAGCTTGAGGGAAGGAATACAAGACCACCCCAAAGTGGGGGCGAGTGGGGAATTTTATATATACACATATATATATATATACACAAAGAGAGAGAGAGTGAGAGAGAGAGAGAGAGAGAGAGAGAGAGAGACCCCCCCTCTCAGGTCACTTCTGTTGTAACAATTTTTTGTCTCATATTGTTCTACAATTTGTATGTGTTTTTGTATTTTTAGATTTCTGGACCTCAGTGCTTCCCCTACTGTATCTGGTTTAACTCTTTGTTTGTGTCATTTCTAGATTTGGGGCATGTTTGCCTTAATGTTTGTACCTTCATTTTTATAAAATTTTTTCTTAGTGTCTACTGTAAAAAATATATATGGGACTGTCAAATGACAAAAAGAAAGGTGAAAATTCACAACGGACACTATTTATTTGATAGATACAGTGAAACTAACTTTTGTTATATTGTGTTCAGTTCAGTTTTTTTTTTGACAATCTCTTCCAATAAGATCACCCTCATAGTATAATTTTCTTGTGTGTTATTATGGCTCTTATGTCCAGATGTTTTTATAGGCTAAAACTCATATTGTCACATAATGCACAGAACATTTTATTTTTGACCATATACTGTACATTTTACACCTTTCCCTATTGCTAATGTAAGTGTATTATAAATATAAGATTCAGATTTGACCTTATTTTTTCACAGAAGATTTTCCCAGGAATGCATTAAAAACAGCACTGCTGTGTATCCTTGAAGGGTTCTAGGGCATACAGTCCAAGACCAGGAGTATCTTCAAAGACCTCTATGCCAGGATACAGTATGTACAGTATGTACCAACAGGTGTTGTTAAGTCATGAAAATTATGTTTAGCATTAATTATTCAGTTCGTTTAAATCTCACAAAGCCTACAGTTATAATTGGAATTAGGAATCAAGTCACTGCTATTAGAATAACATGTTCAATCAAAAGAATAACAGCTTTCAAATGTATGCCTGCCAGTTTGCAGAGACTGAGTTTTCTGTCGGACTTGGCAGTTCTTGTGGTGGGCCAGGATCCTGAGTGGTCAGATCTACACTCTAGTCTCCCACAGGTGGGAGACAAGAGCCAAAAACGTCCTTCAGCACATCACTAGCTTGTGAGGAGGTTTCCTGCATCTAACCCTATCCAAATCCAAACTCTGGCCCACTCATCTAGCACTTTTCAGTTTCATATATCAGTCTTCCAAATGGTCCATCAGTGTAACACAAATTCATCAAGGCCCAAATTTGCAACCTAAGAAGAAAACTCCCCTGGGTGAATTTGAGTATAGCACAAAACCCCAAAACAACACATAGTGTTAGTAATCTATTTAATTATTTTAACTTGTTTGTGTTAGCTTGTGCTCACTCAACCTGAACTGTACCTAGCAAACCATAATTTCAGTAAGAACATTAATGGGACTTGCTTCCATAAGATCTGAATTAAATTTGATATTAATAATCACAATAAAGACTGACTTTGGACTACAGAAGCCATTTTATCCAAAAAAATAACTGCTGTATAAATGACCATCACAACCTTGCTAAAACAGCAAACTGATGGTGGCCAAAGACTTTTGCACAGAGTTGCTTTGCTGGGTGAGTAATTTCATAGGTGAGTTACTTTAAACCATTTGATCATCAATTGTTTTATGAGCAAAAGGAAAAGTGTAGTAATTGTCTGCTCTGTATAATGTTGAATTACATGCATTTTAATTCAATTTCTGTCTTTTTACTCCAATACAGGAAGGACACCTGGATTCAAATCACATGTGAACAGCCATCAGAGATTTCAGTATCTGCATATAAAATTGTAAAAAAAGATTCATGAACATTGTTTAGTTGTTATTGTTTAATGCATGAAAATAATGTCCCTGCTGTCCAGTATTTAACATCACAGCACTGAGCTATTGAGTGGGTGTTGTACTTCTAAGCTCTGAGACAAAAGAAATACATATCCTGTGGATTTCAGTGAGCAGCTGTCATCCTCTTGCTCTTCTCCCATCACAGTCTTCTGTTCTAGATGGCTCTGCTTTAATCCCTCATTTGTTTCAAGAAGGGTAGAATGGAGGTATGATAAGAGCAGGAGAGAGCGATTCCTCACTGAATATCCTGATGAGGACATATACAAAAAACACACTTGGCTTTCACAATGATACAAAACGTAATGGTTTGGCAATGACGCTGCTCATCCTGCCAATAAGATATTCCCCCATAGCTGTCAGTGATGAAGGCTTGGCTCAGAAGCATGAACATAAATGGAGGCAAGAATTCTGTTTGTACTGTCAAAACTGTATTTAAAGAGGTGCTACTGACAAAGCACAGCCAACAACAGACATGTTTTTTTGCTGATATTGCCCTAAAGCTTTTGCATGTACACCTGTATACACAGACATAAATACAATGCCTGAATATATTTTTGAATGTTGTGAATGTTTGGACAAAAACAATATGTACACTTACATATTGCTCATCTGATTCTGTTCAATCTTGAGATTCCAATCCCACTGATGCTGCAAACCTTTGGGTGCATGCTGCAGGCATCCATTTATTTATTACTCTGCCAAACAGGCCTGGGCTGCTCTATTGATGTCAGTCCATGTGCAGTGGAACTGACTTTCTTTCTGTTGGTCTCATAGCAGAACGTCTTACTCAACAGTGTGAAAAGTTGGAAAGACGGAAAGTTATAGGAACTTTCATACTAAATAAGAATGGGATTATTTGGAGAGTGAGAGTTCCATGAACATTACAGTAAACTCCCAAATAAAAGCTTTTTTTGTAATGGACAAGGCAAATCACAAAAAAACACATAAAAAAACATTAAATGAATTTACAATGTATTTTCTGGGGCAGCCTGGTGGTGCAGTGCTTAGCACTGTTCCCTCACAGTGAGAAGGTTCCAGGTTCAGGCCCCACCCGGGACCTTTCTGTGTGGAGTATACATGTTCTCCCCGTTCTTGCGTGGGTTCTCTCCGGGTACTCTGGCTTCCTCCCACAGACCAAAGACATGCAGCTTAGGTTGACTGGTGACTCTAAATTGCCCATAGGAGTGCGTGTGCACGTGTGTGGTTGTTCGTCTATGTGTTAGCCCTGCGATGGATTGGCAACCTGTCCAGGGTGTACCCCGCCTTCACCCGATTGCCGGCCAGGATTAGCTCTGGCCCCCCCCATGACCCCGTTCAGGGACTAAGTGGTAGTGAGTGAATGAATGTCTTTTCCACAGTATTTTCAGCACTCCCCATACAGAGAATCAAACTAAAAGTGATTTTTCTCTAGTCACTGTTAATGTCTGTCAGACCTGGATTAGCTTGTCTGTGCTATAGATCTCCATTGTTGTTAAAACACAATTAAAAACACGTCAGGGAAACACCACTGCACTGGGAGACATGTTTCCCCTTTACAAAACACAAGACTCTGATATTTGTTAAGAAATGTTGCACCAAAGGCACAACTTTTTACAGTCTAAAGTAACCAAGAGTCAACGGCCCATGCACAGAATCTCTGGATATTCTTGACAATATTTCTTAAAAAATTTCAGGGTCTTGTGTTTTGTAATGAGGAAACATGTCTCCCAGTGCAGCGGTGTGGTTCCCTGATGTGTTTTTAATTGGTTTTGAACAACAACAAATTTCTATTGCACTGACAAATAAGATAATCCAGGTCTGACAGACATTAAGAGTGACTAGAAGCAAATCACTACTGGTTTTATTCTTTGTATAGGAGGTGTTGACAATACTGTTAATATAGAAAATAACTGGCCTTAACATTTAAAATGTTTTTAGAAATCAAGACAATTTTATTTATATATATTTCAAAATGACAAATTTGTCTCGTAGGGTTTGCAAGCTTTACTGTGCACCACTCTTGAAACCCTTGAAACTCGATGAGTAACTTGAGTTAGCTGCAGTTAGCTCATTAATCCTTTGATCTGAGTGAGTGCTGGAGATTTGTTGATGCGAGCTGCAAACAGGTAGTCACTGCTCCTGTGAAGATGTTCCCCAGGTGCCTTTCTAAATAAAAAGCTGCCTAGCTTGCGGTGAGCATCTCACTCTAGTATGGCAGCTAGTGATGAATGCTTCATGCGGCTCTGAGTTAACCAAGTTCATATTGAAACACTCCCTGGGGCATTGCCATCAATCAAAGCCTCTCTCAGGAGCTGTCAAGCGATTTTGTCTGCCTTCTCCTGCTACCATGTGCGGTTGCACCACAACAATATCCAGCCCACCTCATTTGTGCTCCTACTACAGAGGTGGCTTTGGCTGTTAGTTTTTTCCCTCCCGATGCCTCTGGGCAGTATATTCAACATGCACTTCACTCTCCAACCTCCCTCCAACCAGTTACTTATTCATCACAGACACCAAGGAAACTGCTTAGTTGACAGACACCAGATTTTATGAAGAGGACGAGACAAACAGATAGAAGCATATGAAGCTGCTCAGTAATGGGGGACCATGTCAGTATGAATTCAGTTTTGCAAAGTGAATGAAAGGGTTAAAAAAAAGGGTTAAAAAGTGGAGGGAAGTATTTTCACTCTCATTAGCCAACCCATCCCAACTCAAACACACAGCTCAGTGCATGAACTGCCCCCAACACACACCCATCCACACATGCTCACTGTGTCTCATCCTTCTTTCCTGGCACACACTCCCCCATCTTTCACTTATTTTTCATCCCACTTCTCTCATCTTCCTCTCCATCCTCTCCTCTGTCTTGTCTAGATTTGTGAAACTGTCTACTCTTTCTATCCTCCCATCCTCCCTCTCTCTTTCCTCCTCTCCTCGCGGTAGCCCTCACCTCCATCTCTGAGGTTTTCAGCCAATCGTTGCCGAGGGAGGTGTGGTTTCACAACGGGAGGGTGGACAGAGCTTGTGGAGGAGAGAGAAAGGGAGAGGATAACGCTGGTGAAAAGAGACGCTCTCTTGAGCTACTTGGGGGAGAAACGCCAGGCTTGGCACTAGGTGATGACCGTGGCGCAAATACTCAGCCAACCGGGAATAAAACACGGAATAAAAGGGGAAGAGGATTCTCAGTTTGTGCATACCTGCGCGCCTTCCCTCAGGCCGCAGGTGTTCTACGGTCCCTCTGAGGGGACAGATTTTTTTTTGTCCTGAGAGGGAAGTCGGAGAAGAACATATCTTCAGGGGATTGCATCGCACACAGTCTCATCTGTTGTTCGGCTACTCTGAAAGCAAACTTTACTCAGTTTTTGTGAGGTCTCAAAACACGTTTCAACCCCAGGTTCGATCCGATCGAAGCCTCTGGAATTCGTGGACTGTTCACTCGGACTGTGTCTAAACACGGATTACCCAGGACAGCATCTGGATTCAGAAAGGCGAATTCATCTGAACTCCAAACTTGTGTGTTGTGACGCGACGCGTATTCATTTGTCTTTTAATGCGCTGACAAAGAGGACGATGTCTGAATTATTACAGCCGTTGCCCAAGCTGCCCCAGGAAAGAGGGGAAGAGTGAGTGGAAGAGGAGAAGAAGGGAAGTCGGTGGCGTTTACCTACCGTCCACTAAATCGTTAGCGCCTTTGCCGTTCGGGCTTTCACATCTCTTTACTGGATACACGGACACACATCAAGAGGCACAAGAGGCGCACGGGGAGGACCTGCGTTCGCACCCTCGGTGAGTTTGCGTGCGTGTCCACGCTGAGGGAATTACAAACACGGGGGATAACAGTATCTGTGTTGTGCGTTTTCGCACCATGCATCTATCTATCTATTTATCTATTATGTATCTATACAATTTTATCAATGCATTTTTAATTTTTACGCACCGCGCACTCTCGTGTTGATCGGCATAAAACAGAAATTCGAGCTCGGATGGTCAGTTGCAGTGTTAAAGACTTCATATCCTGACGCATGATCGATTAGTGCGGAAGGAGAGAAGCTGGAATTAGAATTTTGATGAATCAGATAGGAGGCTTGTTTGGCCGTTTCCACAACAACAGGTTCGGCCATCAGCAGTGTGTTCACTGGCGCCAATATTTGTGCAAAGAGGGTACACAACTAAATCAATGTCAGAGGTCACACGGAGTCTTGAGAAACCCCATTTCCATATAGTGTAGGTGCATTTTCTTTACCTAAATAAGTGCAGCGTGAACGCTTTAAACCTGTAGAGGTGCGTGTACTGTAGTGCAGCCCCTAGAGTCAGACCACGCTGTGGAAATGTGTGTGTTTAGGTGTGTATGACTGTTATATGACTATTATATTTTAGTGGGGTTACATTCTAACTTTGTAGCTGTGTGTGTGTGTGTGCACACCAAAAATCAGTCCCGTGGCATAGAAACTGAAGCTGAACCTGGCTTATTTTTCAACCTCTGCTTTTCTTTGTTTCATCTATGTATGTGTGTGTAGGTGTGTGTGTGTGTGTGTGTGTGTGTGTGTGTCTGCATACCCGTGCTCCTACTGGGTCTCCTAAACAATTAATACCTTCCTTCCTGCCTGTCTTTCTCCTCTGTCTCTCTCTGCCTGTGCATGTGTGTGTGTGTGTAATGTTGTTGCTCCATCAGTCACCCTGAATGCTTGCAACACACCGCACAATTTCTCACAAATTCTCTGAACCATGTAAGCACAACATTTATCTGTCAGCTACTTTGTCGAGACTGCTGTATGTGGCCGTATCCTCAGAGAAGAGGAACTGCTGCCTCAGAGTTATACTGAACACCTCTGAATCTGCCGCTGCCTGAGACCCCAGGTGGGAAAGGAGCCTTGTTAAACAAATAATGGAGGAGAAAAAAAAAAACGGAAAAAAGTCACAGCTTAACTCTTCAAGCTTCAGTGAAAGACATGTATGCATATCTGTAAATACTGTACCATTTAAATCAATACATGCACACACAGTCCACACTCACCTGATTGCTCTTTTCCTCATTGTACTGTGTTATTGAAGTGAGATGTGCTGATAGTCTGGACTTTTCTATGATAGATTGTAGCACCGGGAGCATATAAATGAAAGCTGGTGTGCTGAAGGCTGAGACACAGAGCTCTAATGATATTTTGCCTAATGGTGTGTGAGTGTACATTGGTGTTGACAACATGACTGGATTGATGGTGACAAGGATTATTGATGACTGCTGTTGGTGTTAAGTGTAAGAGTGTCTATAGAGAATTTCTAGTATTCTGGTAGGAATGAAGGAATGTAAAGTACGCAAAATATATAAAACCACAGTAGCAGACTGTGCCATATTTTGTTGAAGATACTGTATTCCCTTGTTTAGTATTTAACACTGGTGGAGACTGCTGCCTAACACACTGCCCTAAAATCTCCCATATTGCAGGCAATCAGTTGCATTGAGGACTGTTAAAAAATTCATATTATTTTCATCCAACCATCATTCAGCCTCTGTGCCTTTTATGAAAGCACCTGAATTCATTATGTCTCTCACTTACATGCTTTTCTTCAGATTTTATTTGGTAGCTACAACAACGCAGTGAGGCATGATTTCCCTCTTTGTAGTTATTTTGTGTCTTTTTCTAAACATTTTGTGTTTGTGTAGTTGTACTGTGTCTCTTTGAAGTCATTTTGTGTCTCTGTAGTTGTTTTGTGTCTCCTTGTCTTCTGTGCTTCTCTTTTTGGTTTTGTTTGGTAGTTTTGCATCCCTGTTCCCCCCTGACTCTTTGGGTCCCTGAACCTGTACCCATGAGGCCAGTTCAGTAACCCTGTCTGTATATTAAACCTGGTTTCTGTCTTCAGGGAAGAAGGCCCGGGCAAAACACATGTACTATCCACAGAATTACAGCATGCAAGATAACTGAGAAGAATCACACTGACATCTTTAAGAGGTTAGATCTGCAGTTGTTAGCTCTGAAATGTCTCTGTTGAGGCCGGTCTATTTCAGCTGTGGGATAGTAGAAGTTTCTAAGCTAATTTACATCCAGAGTAATTTACTTTTGCACATCTACTGTATATCAATGTTTCATACTGTACAGACTGGGGCACATTAGGGGCCTTTAAATGGATTCCACAGAGTCCTGGGCAAAATGAGAAGTGGTTTAATTTTGCTCTTATTTCATTGCTTTACTGAGATGTTACTGACAGAATGCAGGAAGATGACTGGAGAATCAGAGGTTTCATTACACCCCCTGTGGTTATCACTCCAGAATCTGATTAATGATTTTTAACCAAGACAACAGCGTCAACATTGTGTTTCTTATATATTCAGGTTTTTAGTCACCCTCCACTCAACTGTTATCTAAAATGCCTTGCCTGTACTGTAGATTTGGGGGCGGAGCCAATCCCAACTGACATTGGGCAAGATGCGGGGTGCACCCCGGACAGGGCACCGGTCTTTCACAGGGTTGACCCCTAAACACAGGCAACCACTCACCTTGACGTCTATTTAGAGTCACCAGTCAGCCTAACCTGCAGGTCTTTGGGCTGTGCGAGGAAGCTGGAGAAAACCTGTGAGGTCTGAATCTGGAACCTTGTTGCTGTGAGGTGACAGTGCCACCCCTAGTCTTTGACAGTATGCTGAATAACATATGAAATAATCAAACATTTAAAGAAACTGCTGTGTTAAATGAGACAAAACTCAAAGAAAGCTTGAATAACTTTTTAAAATTAGTTTTAAAATTAACAAATCAATTGTGTTAAATACCTAAAACAGCATGATGTTACTTATCATATCATTACAGTGTGACTCCAGTGAAAGCAGACATATGAGAACAAAAACTCGCTCTTCATCAAGCAAGGACTATGTAGGCTACATGTAGCCTAATAATTTATGACAAATTATGACATAGCTGAGTAACTTAGTTTAGATGAACATTTATAAATAACACACAGTTATCAACAAGAACATATTTACAATTAGTTACTGTAGAAATGACTACACATTGGGTTGTTTTGTAAATTATTACCCCTTTTTACACAAGACCACAGAGTGCATTAGCCAAAACAGACCTGTTGATGTAGGTTTTGTTGCTGAATGTTGTCTTGGTTCACAAGACAAAAAAAAAAAACAGTTTCTGGAGTGAGAGCCACAGTAGGTTGAATGAAACACCAGTTATGTTTTAGCATTCTCTCAGTATAGTAATATTTTGGCAAAGCAATGAAATAAGAGCTAAATTAAACCACTTCTCATTTTGCTCCGGATTCCGTTTAAAGGTTCTTGGTTCCAAACTGTACTTTTGGAACCAGTGTACATGTGTAAAAGGATAGTCCTCTGTACAGAAATGTGCTTGTATCCCACAGCTGAAATAAACTGGCCTCAACACATCTCCTAACAAGTCTAGTTCTACTAAAGATGTCAGTTTATTTGTCCTCAGTGATATATTTCTCTCTCACTGCCTTAAAATTATTGTTATAGCAAGGTGGCATCTGTGTTTTGTTGAAGCCATATTTTACCAAAAACAAGGTTTCAGGTTTAATGAATTTATATTTGAATGAAAACAGTAAAGAAAAGGAAATAGAATGTCTATGAATCAACCTGAAACGGCTTTGCTTTCTGACATTTTCCCATCCTAGAAAGGCAGTTAGATGGTATACAGTTGCAATGTTCTAGTAAAAGTACATTCAGCGACAGAAAAGGTAATATTGCCACTCCCCTATTGTCTGTCTCTAAAAGAAAAAAACAATTTGTCATCTCTTATTAGCTATTATTTTCTGATTTTACCTCACATTTCGAACCTTATCATCCGAAACTGCATATTCTCTGGATTCTCTGTGTTTGACCTTTGCCCTGCTTCCTAAATGATCTAAAAATCTGAGCTGGATCTACTGTGGGTCTCACTCGTAGTCACTCTGCCGAGAAATGCATGAGCTAAATGCCTGTATATAAATGTAAATGTGTGTACTCAGCGTGTATGCTCTTCAGAGACTGACTAGTGCATATGATGCGGCTGTGCCCTTCACACTACAAGGACACGGGGAGATATTGAAAATGCAGCATTTTTCAACAGCTGATACATAATAGTAGGCTTTCAGATTTGCCACCGGGTTCATCTCTCAGCATTGTATGTGCTGTCCTTTTCAAGATAAATGGTATACAGGTTTTTAAGGTTCAAGTCAGACCGTGGACAAATCGAACTGTTCACAAATATACAAAGATTGCTTTTTCTGTTGGGTGTGTAGGTGGCTATACAATGTGTCTCTCAGCCAGCAGTGGTTAACAGTGGGTTTCATTCTTGTATCCATCTTCTCAGTAACTGCTGCACACTTTGGACATTGTATTATTTGGCTTGATAAGGAGTAATATAGTATGATGATGAAGTACTGCGCAAGTAATTAGTCAATTAATCAGTTAGTCAGTTCACTGAAGTGTTGATTGTTAAAGCTATTGTGTGACATTTGAGAAACATTCTAGTTAGATAAGCAGACATTGCTCTTATTATAAATAGTAAATGTAAGGCTAAGTAGCCTGTTAGCTTCTGTTAGCACAAAAAGAGCTAGCACAGTGACTTCCTGTAAAACCATAAATTGTCATTTTTACATTTCTGTTCTTGCACCATTCAAATAAATGAGATATATTGATTTTCTGTTACCTCTAAACCATAGAACTCACTATCATTTGCAACAATCTTTTAATGATGAAGTAGCTTCTGTGAACTGGTGTTTGCATTTTATCCTGGCCAAATAAAATGAGATCATCAGTTACTCTTCAGTACTCATGATAATGGAGATTT